CATGACATCGATACGAATGTCTGCTCCGGTAAAATGTTTTCAAAATTTTTCTAGGGCTTACGGTTTTCTGTCAAGGTGCTTTAGAGCAAAATCAAGTTCCAGCCTAACTGACGCTCTCCACCATATATTTTCATACTTTTCTGGAAAATTTCAGACCTCAGCACACACCATTTTTTCTCATCGCTGTAATTACTATGAATGAGCTACAAATATGATGCAGGACTATCGGAGACAAAAATAGCTCTCATATGCTTCAAACGGTTTTCCGATACGTATCACGGTTTCCGAACGGCAAGGAGTTGTTCGGGCTGCTTTTTCCATTATAACTGACTGAGCTGTCTCACAAAGATAGAAATCTGTCTCTGCCTCACACACATGACTGTTGACCTCTTTAGAACTACAATTCCTGAAGGTTAGAACTACAACATGGCGGAACACTCAATGCCTACAGAAGAGGTCTGAGCTGATTGTCAGAACTACAACATGGTGGAACTGTCAGTTACTACTGAGGAGGAATAAGCTGGCCTTTAGAATTACATTGTGTTTGGGCTTTTTATAACTGATTTTAACCAACCATTGTTACACACAGGATTAGTGTAGCAATTTTAAATTAAGCTTAATGAAAATTTCAAAATAAAAGCCCTGAGATTCTTTTATATCACGTAATTGCTCTCTTGGGAATTATGTGACTTTTTTAACAAAACCACTGTTAAACTTTGGATTATTTTGGACATTTAAAATGAAGCTTAATGAAAATTTCAAAATAAAACCTTGAATATTTCTCTCAGGCCTGTCAGAAAAACTAACTTCTTCAAGCATTTAGAATTAAGTCTCTCCTTGTGTGTCACACTGACATGACAGTTGACCTCCTCTTTAGAACTACAATTTCTGAAGGTTAGAACTACAACATGGCGGAACAGTCAGTGCCTACAGAAGAGGTCTGAGCTGATTGTCAGAACTACAACATGGTGGAACTGTCAGTTACTGCTGAGGAGGAATGAGCTGGCCATGAGAAGTACTTGGTTTTTGGGAATTTTAGAACTGATTTCAAAACTCCATAGTTACACATGGGATTAGTGTTACCATTTAAATTAAGCTTAATGTAAATTTCAAAATAAAAGCCTTGACAATTTTTCCATCAAGTAATTGCTCTTTTGACCACTATATAACTGATTTAACCCAATCAGTTAAACATGGGATGAGATTGGCCATTTAAAATTAATCTCAATGAAAATTTCAAAATAAAAGCCTTAAGATTCCTTTCTGGCTCATGCCTATTTTAGTGAAAATGGCTGCCTCAAACTGATAGAATTCTGTCTCCCCCTGTCTGACTCACAGCTGGCAGAGGATCCATTACCATGGCAACGGAACACAAAGGGGCCAGCTGATTAGGACTACAAAAACGCATCACTGTAGTTCTAACGCTGGCAGAACTCAGAGGAAAAAGCTGGACTTTAGAACTGCCTGTGTTTTGGGCCTAACTCATTTTAACCAACTATTGTTACACATGGAATTACTGTGTCAATTTTAAATGAAGCTTAAAAAATTTTCTAAATAAAAGCCTTGACAATTTTTCCATCAAGTAAGTGCTGTTTTGACCATTATGTGTGTTATTTAATCCAATCACTGTTACACATGGGATTAGATTGGCAATTTAAAATCAAGCTCAATGAAAACTTCAAAATAAAAGCCTTAAGATTTGTTTGTGGCTAATGCAGCGCCACAGGCGCTGCAATGATATTAGCTTGCATGATCTTTTTCCCTCCGGTTAGGGCTCTGCCTTGCGCAGCAAGGCAGAGCATTAACATCACAAACATTAGCATTTTATTGTTCCCCACTAGTGCACTGCCGTAGGCAGTGCAATAAGATTATCCTGCATGATCTTTTTCACTCAGGTTAGGGCTCTGCCTTGCGCATTAGCCTTTTACCTTATATGAGCTATTTCCCTTACTTATTACCCATGTTTAGTATACTGAAGGCAGTAAGTCATGCTTGTGACAGTAAGTCATGTTTTCTTTAGAATGGATGCTAATGTTTAGCATCAGAACGCTGGGTCGAAATCGACGGGCACACTTTGGCAGGCCCCGGTTAAATTTCTTCAGGAATTTTCTAGTTGTATAATCTTGTTTCTTTCAAAAATGTTATAATTGCTGTGTGATTAGCGTAACCCGAGTGTAAGAGCCAAATGACCTAAATGAGCATTACTTGTGGCACAGCTGTGACAGTTAATGGTGGGTGTGTCGTAAGTGGGCGTGACTGTCATTTAGTATGAATGAGAGCCGTACTGACGCGCTGGTCACTACGTAGAAGGAAACGGGTGCACCGGGTGGAGGGTCATAATTTCTGTTGATCGTGTTAAATATTGTTTATTGTTAGTATCATTATGATTTAGCCTGGTCAGCATGTGTCAGTTCTTAAGTATTTAAGCTGATATATAAAATAAATTGATGGTAACAACAACACAAAGGAACCACTTGAAGTTATTGGAACACGAGTCATGACAGTATCAAACCTACCCAGTTAACCCTGTGCGACCTTCTATATAATTGTTAGTTTCTACCGCACATTTACCGAGTGTAATTTTAACCTTTATTTCCTCCTCTAATTTTCTACTATTTAGCCTTTTAGCCCTTAGATTTTGCGATGTTTTAATAGAATGATTAATGATTCTCGCGAGATTATTATTTAGCCAATCGCGGCTGAGTAGTGGGGTCACATGTACCTTCGCAGTTTACCGGCCAGGTATATTAGCTGGAGCGAAAAGGCATGAAGGTTAGAACGCGTCGGAAGAAGCAGAGCTGGCAGCTCAGTTAAAGCGTGATGTCATTCATTTTCTGTAAATATGTACGATCCTCACTTGATGTGCAGAACTATAGGAGCTTATTATTGTGAGCCAGACGGGAGATGAAAAAGAGCCGGTAGAAAGAGATGACGTAGCATGACGTAGCATGACGTAGCATTGGCTTGTAATCACTGCTGTTGTGAAGCCACTAAAGAAAAATTGATTGCATACTTCTTTTGATAAACAAAAGGGTAATTGAAGTATTTATTGAGCACTGGTTTCCATTAGAATTTTACATTTCATGTTAATTGATTATCTGGTGTATATTTAATGAGTGTTTCATGAATGTAATTTATATTGAATTTTAGATTTATTGAAATTACAATTGATTAAATATGATTGTTAGAATTATTTATAATACAAAATGTTATTTATTGAATTGTGTATACACTAGGAACGTTTCGATCATATATGGATATATTTTGAGGAAGTGGTCCAGTTTTGTTACTCAGGCCAGGTGATGGTGAGCTAAAAGATCAGGCCTAGAGCCAAGAAAAGATTTCCCCTGAAGATGCTGCTAATTTCTCCAACCAGCTGGTAAATTCTGGTTATCAACAAAGGACTCTGCTCCATCTTCGATCGGACTTTTCTTTACCCAGGACGTGAACTGAGCTCTGGATAATCATATTGTTCGAAAGCCTAATTAATTCCCACTTGGGCTGGATGGACTGCGGGATGTGAGATTATGAACTTTAGGAACGATTGATTAATATAGTTCTTTGTTGTTTTTTCCCTTCTTTAATTTTCTTTTTATTTCATTGATTTTTTCCTCGATGGCCATTTGGATGTCCCAATGTTGTTGTTGTAAATATATGTATATATGTTATTCACATTGCAAATACAAAACACTCGCAGCTGTAACTTCTCGCCTTCCTGCTCCTTCTTTGAGTCGTACCTATTCTTCTGAAAAGGAAAAAAAACTAGCCTGTTATCTTGGTCAAAATCCATTTCTATTAAATAACAATATAGTTTGTTTTTCAAATATGCTACATTAGCGTATTGTGTTCAACAATATCTTATTCATTCTTCAATGTTTTCTGTATATGAAATAAATGATGACGTTTACTTCCTTCCTTCTAGTTGTTGCCATTCATATTTAACGTTGCTGTTAATAATGGATTTTATTACAGATTCATAACATATTATTTCCATAATTCTACTTTGTTTTAAAGACATCTTAGCTAAATAATCTGCCATATTGTTTAATCATCAAAAATATGATTTAACAATGTAATTACATGAATTATTACAATTTTTGTCCTAAAAATACCATCATTTGCTCTTAATATTATACTTTAGTTTTTCTGACTATGTAATTTTAAAATATGAAATTATTTCAATTTACTCAGTACTTCAGTAAACTTTTTACAAAATACTTTCTTTACCCTGATTTAACTATTTCATGGATGGAATTTTTTTTTTTTTTAATTGAGGAAAAATTTGTCAAGGTTTCTCTTCTCCTCCAGTTTTTGTTCTCTGTTTTGCTCCAACATGTGGAAATGATTTTAATCTCAGATGTGATCAGAACCTGCAGCAGTTTGAACAGTTGGACTTTCTCCAACACTCCAGAACCGAGCCTTGCTGCTGGTCCTGGTTCTGCTTCAGCTGACGATTGACAGGACGGTCCTGATCTTTACCCTTTACTCTAACCTCGGTTCATCAGAACCTCAGTGATGGGCTCAGAAAGGTCCGGTCCGGTTTCAGATGTCTCCCTCTTCAGCCAGGCTGAATCAAACGATTGCGAGACTTCATGCGCACGTCTGCAGGTGAGCAGCAGCACGGAGCCGGTTGGAGGCAGCTAGTCTACAGGAACCGAGCTCTAAATGAAACTGAAGCTGTTGAACCAGGAAGTTCCAACGATACTGTGATCAGCACACAGGTTTGTATTTCTGCCCATATACCTGACCTCTAACCTGACCCCCGACCCCAAACAAAAAGGTCAGAAGGTTAGTAAATATGACAGTAAATTGTAGAACTAAGAAGAATAGATCTACAAGAACACACACAACAGATGCTGAGATTAACATTCTGTGTCTGATCAGGTTAATTAATCCTGAATAGCTGCTTTGTTTAATCCGGTTTCCTGTCACTCTGACCAATCAGGGCCGCTGATGTCATCCTCTCTCCTCCCCCACAAAGCCGTGTGTGTGTGTGTGTCTGTGTGTGTGTCTGTATGTGTGTCTGTGTGTGTGTGTGTGTGTGTGTGTGTGTGTGTGTGTGTGTGTGTGTGTGTGTGTGTGTGTGTGTGTGTGTCTGTTATTGTAGCAGCATCAGTGTGAAGAAGAAACTCGTATGAAGCGTCTTTGTTTTCCTTTGAGGGGTGACCACAACCTGCTGACCCCTGACATGCATTCTGGGTGAGTCTCTCACACACACACACAGACACACACACAGACACACACACACGTGAGTAAAAATATGACTTCAATCATCATCTCAGTGCGATCAGGGTTTACCGTGATGTTGAGCCTGTGATTAGTGAATGTCTGGAACAGGAAGCTGCTGCTCAGGTCAACATGGAGTCTGGATCATGTTGTCAACACAGAAGTTCTCTGTCCAACCACAAGACAATGAGGACAATAAGACCAGCGTCCCACCAAGACAGCGGCAGGACGGCCTGAAGGCCCCTAAACAACCAATAAGCAGCTGGATCCCAACACCAGCTGCAGACGGAGCTGCTGGTCCCAGTTTCCTCCAGTAAAACCAAACGGCTCGTCACAGTCGCTGCAGAGTTTCTTCATTTCTCTGCAACTTTGAACAAACCCGTCTTGCACTTCTCTTCTGAGTACCTAAAAGGCAGACTGTGCTTCATCAGAACCGGCTGGTTCTGGTCCAGAACCGCCTCCACCCCCCAGGATTTATAAAGGGTGTGAGTGCATGTATTGCTTTAGACATCTGAATTTGTTTGTGCTCCAGGATTTAGTGCAAAAGCTGATATCAAACTTCTGATGGAAACTGTCTGGATGAATCTCTGCTGTAGAATCTTAGGCTGACCTCTGACCTGACCCTTCAGAGTCACATGAAGCTGGTTCCACAGTGGGCCTTCTTGCAGCTGCAGAACATTTCCAGAACCAGAGACTAAAGTCTCCGATCAGAGAAACATTGATTCCTGCAGCATCTGATGACAAACCAGAAATTGCTGCTGGAGTTCTGACCAGAACCAGGAGGATAGAGACACCGCCCAGATTTACACCCCCCGGTTCTGCACTGCCCAGTTCTGCAGCGCCCGGTTCTACTAGTAGTTCATAAATCACTGAAAGATTAAAGATCTGCTGCTTCTGGTTCTGGTTCTGCTCTGTATCAGAACCAGAACAAACATGGAGAAGCAGCATTCAGCTTCTATTCACCATAGATCTGGAATAAACTTCCAGAAAACTGCAAAACAGCCGAAACACTGAGTTCCTTGAGTAAATCAGCTGGTTGCAGCTGATTTTGAAATATAATAAATGAAACATTGATCAATAATCTGAAGCAGATCCAATCAATATGTGAAAATGTAACGTGTCAGTTATTCACTGCGTTCTATGTCTGTTGTTCTATGTTTTTGTGACGTAAAACACTCAAACTGCCAAATAAACTTCACTTGCCTGGAACCAAAGCGGTTGTCCCTCGCCGGCCTCTCACCTGTCCTCTGTCTTCAGGTCGGGGGGCGGGGCCTCGCTGCCTGGACACATGAGCAACCTGTCCACTGGGTGGCGCCGGTCAGCGTCTCCAACACGCCGCCTACGGTTTGAGGATGAGACGGAGACGAAGGCGGAGTCTCGTTACCGGGAGCGAGAGCAGGGGACAGGTGTCCAGGTGTCCAAACCGAACCTGAACCAGCTCAACGTGAGAGGAAGACCAGCAATGGCGCCGATGATGTCTGGAGCCCAGCTGGACCGTCGCCTCACTCTGTGTCCACCTGTAGCTAGGGTAAGGGGGCGGGGCCTGAACAGACCCCTCCTCCATGTGCGGACGGAAATGCTCAAAGACTCTTACATCGGCTGCATCTCACCTGCTGACTCAGGTGAGGGAGGGGGCGTGGCTGTCAGCATAGTTGATAAAAGAGGGACAAACCAGGTGACAGCTTCACAAACCCCGCCCACAGTGGAAACACCTGCCAACCCCTATGCCTTGCACCCAGTGGGCACATCGCCCCAGCCGCCTACCTGCCATCATCAGGATCATAACCGTCCCTCTCCTTTAGCCCCCCTAGCTGTGACATCACTGACAACGTCACAGAATGGAGGACTTCATAACACAATGATGAGAAACCAGCAAGAGAAGAAGAAATCCTCTGATCCGCCGCCTGGCTCCGAACTGAAGAAGAGCAAGGACTGCTTGTCCTCAGGTGAGAACAGGACTCACCTGTAGACCAGGTGGAATCACCTGGACCCTAACCAGGATAAATTCCCACCTGGTCAAACGTCCAGGTGGTCAGGCAGAGAAAGAGGAAACACTGTTTGTTGACTGGTGGCTAACTGTTGTTAGAGAAGATAAATTTCAATGCATTTTACAATATTTATAAAAAAACAAACATTAATTGGTGACATCGCGTTTCTGGTCCACAGCTGAAGACAAAGCCCCGCCCACCTTAGATAGCCAAGATGGACACCACAGACATCCAATCAGAGAAGAGCTTCACAGTGCTGTTTCACGTCCTGGGCGGTGAGTTTAAACCCTGACTGATGACATCATCATTGCTATGTGACCATGTTGCATCCCCAAGGCAGTGTGAAAGTGTTGGGGTTCAGGGGGAGACAAAAAATACTTTCATTCTTCTAAAATAATCTAAAATAATCTTAAGTGTGAAGGTGAGAATCTGGGAGAAAAGAAAGAGCAACAACAAAATCCAGGGTTTCTGGCAAAAGACAATCCTCATCAAATCACCACAAAGCTGCAGCATGCTGCAGCCGCCCGCATGCTGCAGCATGCTGCAGCCGCCCGCATGCTGCCCTGCTGGTCAAGAGCCACTGAACTCAGTTCCCCGTGTTGCATTAACTCTGCTGATCAAGCAGCTGCACCTGCTGAAGCTTCCTGGGTGTCAGGAAGTGTCCTTCTGTGTCCTTCAGACGCTCCTTCATGTTGCGTAGCATGTGCCAAGTCTCCACTTCCTGTTTTAGCCCCGCCCCCTTCTGGGTCCTATTTCCACAATTCTTTGCTGCATATGTTGTTTTGAATAAAAAGGTGGAAATATAGTTACAAAAAATGTAAAGTATTGGAATAATTGTCAAAACAAAGCACATCTGAACGACCAAATATCTCCTGCAAGAAAAATATGTGCTGTATACTAAAATCGATTGCTTGAAAATGCCTGAATGGTGACCGGTCGGCCATTTTGGATGCAGAGGCAAATTGTCCCTATTGTCACATTTTTACTGCTTGTAACCCTGACGTGCTCTTCAACTGAGTCCACACTTCATAGAGGGCACAGGGCCAGTTCTGGGACCGGACTCAGCCTGAGTCACCAGAACCTGCAGAATCTGCTCTGGTGGTTCTGCAGAACCAGCTGACTTCTGAACTCTGATTGGTTAATCTAAAACTGAAACTGAGGTTTAAATGTGTAAGGTTGAGGAATTTGATTCAGGCTGGTTCTAACTTGTTCTTCACAATCGGCCTTTAAACTGCCAACCAATCAGGAGCCTGAATCAGTTAATTTAATTAACTGACAATTAAACTCATTGTCAGTTAATTTAACTTTGATATAGTTAAATTAACTTTATCAGGCTTTATCAAACTTTGATAAAGTTAAATTAACTGACAACAACCAAAAAAATTATTGCCAATATTGCAGATAAAGGCAAAAACAAATTTCTATATTTATTTTTGTAGTGAAAGAAATGTTTATCTAATGAATCCATCTCCAGTGTTCTGATCTCTGATCAGTTTTTCTTCTCTTGCTTTCTTCAGATTCAGTAGAGATGGACCCTCTCGTCTCTCGCTGCATCACCTTTTGTCCTCGGTCAAACTGAGCAAGACTCGAACCGGCAGCCTTGACCAACTTTCCAGTGACGGCAGGACGTCCTGCAGCTTGTGGAAGAAATCTCCTTCTACTCAGTCTCTCTGTGTGGGAAAATGTTCAGTTTTAGATCTTGATTTTTAAATACTAGACATTTCTTTTGCTGAGTGGGTCTCCTGTCTATCCTCCAGGGGGCGCTGGGCTGCAAATGAAGAAGTCGTCAACCCACCGATGAGCAGTAAAACACCCGCTTATGTCACCTGACTACCGTCCCACCCAATCAGAGCTCAGTGTCTGTCCGTCAGTGTCTGAGGTCAGAGGTCATCGGCCAGCACCGCTCAGGGAGATCGGTCGGTCGTTCGGGCTGTTCAGGTCTGTTCTGATGGACGGATTCTGTTGGAAAGGGCAGAGTGAGCGTCCAAACTGGAAACCAGTGAAACCAGTTTCATTTGCAGTGCTGAATGTAACTAATGGAATTATTGGCACCTGATTTTGTTTTGGACAGTTTTTAGTCAGTTCAGCTTTCTGAGTTATCAAAAGTCCTGGCTTCTTCCAAACCTTGGACATGCGCATTGGATCCACCAGCTGTTGCTAACGGGTCGGCGGCAGGAGTTAGCCATGCAGTCGGTGGATCGCCGGCTCGATTCCCGGCCCTCGTTGTTTGTGTCCTTGGGCAAAACACTTCACTCACCTGGCCTGCTAGCATGAAATGGTAGCTTTGCTTGTCTGTCGCCTTTGCAATATAAAGAGCATTTTCAATAAAATTGATTATTATTAATTGCTGCTTGATAGTCTGGAGGAGCTGAGTGGGGAAGGATCAGCTCCCCGCAGCAGGGATAGCTTCACCCAGGCTAAATAGTTTCCGTGGAGATTTTAGGATTTCTCTGACATGGAAGATTCAAAGCAACACTCCAGGTTTGTTTTTGATGAGGGAAAAACAGAATGGAAAGATCAAAAAGTCAATTTTACATGATACTGGCCCTTTAAATTCCGCATTTGGGTTAAATGGGTCCGTGAGATGAAGGGTAAGACCTTCATCAACGACCTTTTTTTTTTTTTTTTTTTTTTGAATAGATCTTTATTGAGAAAGAGAAGACAAAACAATACAAATACAATAATGACTTCCAGCAGGGGTTATATACATAGACAGTACATCCCCGTAATATTACATGAACTATTTTTTTAAACAAGGTAATCACAAACAAATAAGGCAATTACATTAGTGCAATTCTGTATAAGGCATCTAGTAGAGGCATATTTAAAGTGGAAATATAAAGTAACATTGACAATAAGAGATTAGTATAACAATTAGTAATAGTGTAACAGTAACTAACAAAGGCAGCAAGGGGATTCATAAATTAGGATTAATATACATCAGTGGGCAATTCCATTAATATTTCAGTCAGGGATTCATAAGAGTCAATACAATTCAAGGCTTTCATATATAACTGAAATTCAGATAAAAAGATGTTAAAGACTGGGGATGATCTCAGCACTCTTTGTTTATGAATAAAGAATTTTGCCAAACAAAATATTAAGTCACAACAAAGTTCCATAGTTTTGTTTATTAATAATACTCCAAAAGTTACCATATCTCTAGAATAGATTCAGGAAGTGTGAATTTGGAACTGATCCATCTTTCTAAGCAAATCCAAAATGTTTTGGTTTGGTTGCATTCATAGAAGATGTGGTCAATCGTTTCAATATCTCGTTCACAAAAGGAGCACTTATTGTCATCAATATTAAATCGATTTTTTAATAATTCTTTTGAAGGGTAAATTGCATTTAAATTTTAAAGTGTGTTTTCTTTAGCTTTAGGTTGAATAGGGAGTTTAAGATAAAGGGATCTTAACCTCTCAATTGATTTATTATCAAACTTGCAAAGAATGTTATTTCTATTTATTTTCCCAGGGAACAAAGTATTGTTTAGACAGTTTCTAATTGTGTGGTTATCAAACTTTTGATCAGTGAATGAGATTCCATTAATAAATAAATTGGGTAATTGTGGGGTCATCGGATTATATGTTATCAAATTTTTAACTTGGTTAATAAATTGTTTCAGAAAGGCATTAACTAATTTGGTAAATTCAGCTCTTGGGGGAAAGAATTGATATTGTTCACATAGTTGTTCATAGTTTAACATGCAACCATTAGCATCCATTAAGTGTATAATGGACCAAATTTCTTCTTCATCCAATCCTTGTAAAATAAGGATTTACCGCGATGTAATATGAATCTGTTATTCCATATGATAGAGGAGTGTGGCGAGTAGTTATGTACATAGAGCATTTTCCAGTATAGTAATACTTGTTTATGGAACTCTGATAGTTTAATTGGCAATTTATGAATATTGAAATCAGCTAGAAGTCCTTCATCAACGACATGAAGTTCCAGGTGTGAACTCAGAAGAAATGGTGGATGTCGGCAGTGAGCAGCAGTACGTCGCCCTCTGCCTGTCGAAGACAAGATCCTGAAGGTGAGTCTGTATCCTCAGACACAAACTGCCTCCGACTCTGGTAAGTGACTGCTCAGCAGTTCCAGGACGGCTTCCTGCCACACTTCTGGTCACGACCACAAACGAGAGCGGTTCTTTGAAGGAGTCACTTTAATTCAGTGAAGAAGCTTAGGGGAAAAACCAGCTAATCCCGGCTGTTCAGTTACTGGGATGATTCAATGGACATTAAACTGGATTAAATAAAACTGTATGTTTTACTCCTTATCTGTTTTAAATGTCTATATTCACACAAAGTTAAAAGTATGAAACATATTTTAACCTCTTAAGTTCCTGCTTTTCAAAATGTTGAAATGAATGGCGTCTCATTCCTGAAACACCATCTGCTTCCAGATTCACGTTTCAGCTTCTGTTCAACAGACCCGACATCAGAGAAACCACCAGGAAGGTTCTGATCCAGCTGGTTCAGTCACCAAGCCCTGTTAGCATGCTATGCTAAGGTCTAGCCCTGTTAGCAGAACTTTTGCTACAGCCTAATTTTAAAGAATCCTTATTTTGCATGAACTGAGTGTATATGAAGCGATGAGGACTTTCTAGGAATGTGCGATATCAAGGTATAGAAACCTTGATATCGCTAACTGCGGTAAAGCTTGTTGATGATGAAACCAGTTACATCGATTAGAGTTTCCATTTCCAGGTGACAACATTTTCACACGCTTGTTCAGCGATCTCATCTAAGGGAACTGTGGACACAATGGAAGCTGAAACATGTTTTGGCGGATTTGTTCTACTTTTTTTGCAACTGCACTCTCATCAGACACACACAATCACCCAACCCCTAGTGGTCCGCGCGCTCTATGAAAGGTGTGTGAAACCATGTGATCGGGACTTTCACTCAGCAGAAATGAAGTGAACTGCTCCTTTAATAAAGCTTTAATCAGGATGCTTTAATAAAGTTGATCAGTCAGAAATGAAATGTTTCATTGAAGTCATCATGACCAAACTGCTGCCACCTGTCACGCCTGATGTGTAAAGCCATGATTTTCTGCTTCTTGATCAGCTGATCTTGTAAAGATAGCTCAGTTAATAGATTTCCAGTTGCTCCTTCAGAATAAGAGTCTCTCAGAAGCTGCTGCTACCTCTGAGCTGGCAGTTTACCATAGAGTGAGAGGCTTTTATTGTGAAGGAGCAGCAGGAAGTGTGGTTGAGGACTCAAATCTAAATCCTAAACAATTTCAATAATCTGAATTCAAACGTCAACATGTGGCTTAAATAAAACAGTTTAACAAACTACAAGTTTTCAGTAAACAAAACACAAACAAAATTTAGTGTTTTTAAGTGAGGTCAACAAAATTAACCAGTTAAAATGAACCAGTTTAAACTGATCTAGTTCAGAATGAGGTTTGTTTTGGTCCTAGAGAAAATAAAATTGATGTTTGGGTCAGGGTTCTGGTTCTGGACAACCAGACTTCTGGTTCTCTAAGAAACTTTTTAGAAAGAATAGTGTTTCTTGATATTTTTACATGTTATGAAACTGAAAACCGTTTAGTCTAAAGGTAGAACAGATTTCACTTTCTGGGTCCAGTCCACCAGAACGTCCAGAACTCGAGGTGCACTGATTTATCGGGCAGCCGATTTATTGGTGCAGATTTCCTTCGTTTTGGGAGATCAATGATTGAACGATCTGATCAACATCAGCAAAGCTCTAAAAATCAGCCACTGTCCTCTGCTGAGGTTAGACTGTTAGCCCCGCCCACCAGGTCTTGTCTGCATGTCTGCAGTAACAATAGCTGCGCCACTGTTACCCAAATAAATTATTCATTTTATTCATGTGCATTTCAGACAAAGAAAGTCAGAATCGGCAGCTCTGGCCTTTTAAAGATCTTTTATCGGCCAGAAACTGCAATCGGTGCACTCCTATCCAGAACTTCCAGAACCCGGCCCATGTTTCTCCTGCTGCAGTCAGGAGCCAATCAGATTGAAGCTCAAATGGGTCAAAGTGGTTCTGAGTGAACAGAATGAACCCAGGTTCTGCTGAGTCACCAGGTCCATGTTGGACAGGAACTGGTTAGACTGGTTAAACTGGTTTGTTTTAGAGTTATGCTCGGTACTTTCAGAATATTAAATTAGAAAACAAACTGAACAGACTTTTTTTCTCTGAAGTAAAGTTAAACATATGAAAATCACAGCAGGAACATGTTGGACCGGACCGCACCGGGTCCACAGGGCTGGGATCAGCGGTTTGGGTTGATGTTATGCTTTCAGTCAGAGGATGAAGAAGAGGATGATGACGACCAGCAGGATCAGCAGCAGCACTCCAATCGCACACCACTGGCGGCGATCTGAAGAGAAACCAACCAATCACTGATCAGATAGACGAACACGCCCCTAAAACACTCAGCTCTGTCCAATCAGAGCCCAGATTGGACAGAGCTCTGATTGGACAATCTGGGCTCTGACCAGTTCACTGAATTCAGTGATTCTGAATTCTGTGAATTCAGAATCACTGAATTCTACCCAATCAGAGCGCAGACTGAGCTTCTGAATGAGTGATGTGTTGCCGGGCAGATTACCACTGTTCATGTGTGAGACTTTAGCGAGTTTCTTCATGACGCTGTCCAAGCGGGACTGAGTGCTGTCCATCTCATGTCCAAAGTCGTCCAGCATCCTGAGGGACACCAGACAAGACTTAGCAACTGGACCGGACCAGAACTGGACCAGAACTGGACCAGAACTCAGGTTGTTGTAAACCATTATTTTAGTAATCAAAAATATAAAAGGGTTAGGCTAAATAAAATATTGGTAAATGTAACATAACAGCAGAGTTCCTGTCAGTTATCAACATCAGGCCAAGATTTTATATTTGAGCTACCCTAACAATAACTTTTCTGAAGTTTAGAAAATTAACATGTAACAATAACAGCTCACTTTCTAATTTAACCTGAAGAAAAGTTATAGAAAAATCTGAAATTACATTCAATTTAAGAATAAAGAGGCAGGCTCACAAATACACTTATAAAATATGTCCATAGTGCTGGCATACTTTTTTTTTTTTACTCCAGTCTAGTTTGATTCATCTTCATTCGGTTTAATAGTTGAACTCTGACCTTCGTGTTTATGTCAGCGACAGGATTTGACTCCTGCATTCGTCACGCAAACATCATGTTGCGCTGAATCTGCCACCCATTTGTTGAGACCGGGATGATATGAAATGTATTTTGCGCGTCATCCATAAGCCAAACCTATGTTAAGAATCAACTACACACAGCTGCCAGTCATGTCCAGTCTGTTCACTCACCTGTTGAAATGCTCCGCCAGCAGGCAGCAGCTCCAGGAGGAGAAAAGCTGCCGAACTCCAGGCATCGCGCCGTCAATGTGACGGTACTTATTAGACCCCCAAAACATCATCATGAATGAATGAAATCCTCCCAGACCGAACTTGAAAACTGGACGTCATGCTGCTAGCATTAGCACCAGCAACACATCATTGGCGGAAGTGCGCAACACAAATAAAAACGCGGCCGGAACAGAACGCACCAAATAATGAAACATATTTACTGAAGGCAGATAAAATTTCCTTGAGGAATTTTAATAATCGAGGAACTCGAACCATTTGAGGAATCATTATAGCGCTAACCGGAACCAGAACCCAACTGGACCAGTTCCACAGTCAGAACTGAGTTCTTACCCGGCCTGCTCGTCCAGTTCCAGGCCGATCCGCTCTGACATGTTCTTCAGAACCCCAATGGTGCCAGAAACCCGATCCAGCTGCTCGTCCTGCTGCTCCACGATCAGCTGCAACACAGAGCGGCGGATCAGAACTGGAACCAGTGTCTGTGGTTCTGGAACCACAGCAGCAGGTTCTGGTACCTGTTGCTGTGTCTGCTGCTCGCCGATGAACTGGGTGTTGGCGCTCTGCGGCCGGCGGTCCGGTGGGTCACACTGATCAGAACCAGGCTGCCAGATGGGATCTTGGGCGTCTCCCAGGAGAACCTGCAAAACCGAACAGAATCAGAACCCGTTCAGATTGCAATCAGAAAGAAACTCGACCAATCAGAGAGCTCCAAATGAGTCACAGCAGCTGATTGGCCGTTGAGGGTCTGTACCTGTTTGCCGTGTCTATCAGCAGAACCAGAACCAGCTGCTGATCCCGACATCTGTTCTTTCATGTCCTGTTAAACAGAGAACCAGCTGAGTACCGGGTGGAACCAGCTCCAAGGACCCAGTAGGGGAAGGTCAGACCTACCTGGATGGTGCGGCGGGTGCCAGTGATGAAGGCCTTCCTCTTGGTCAGCTCAGCGGCATCCAGGTGGAACTTCCTGGGGTTGGACTCCACAATGCATTCAGGGACGTCAAGGAGAACGGAGACATGGGACGGGGGACTCGGAGACAGACTGGAGGACAAGGATACTGATGGTCTCGTCCAGATCCTCCAAGTCCCACTCGATGGACCGCAGGCCGTTCCGCAGCTCATTGGTCGTCCAATCCGCTTCCTCCCTGGAGGCTCCGCCCACTTCCTGCTGCAGCTCCACCCAGCGGCGATGGAGACTCTGGGCAGCGTGGACCGCCTTCTCCACTTCCCTGCACACACAGAACCAGAACCGAATCAGAGCCAGAACCAGAATCAGGTTTTCGTTTCCCTTTGGGATCAGTAACGTATTCGTGAACGACTCATTCGGTCCAACTGGACCTCTGGCGTGTCGGTAGTACCTGCAGGTAGGGTTACCTGCTCAGGTGTGTCAAGGAGGGTCAGTTAGAGCAGGTTACCAGGCTAACTAGCTGCCGGCTCAGGCCACGTGCTCATCACGTGACCCTCTGTTCCGTGTTGAACATCAGGTCCAGTTTCAGATATTTTATTTTCCCTCTCAACAGAAATACAGCGAGGTGTCATGGCCGCCATGACACCTCGCTGTATTTCTGTTGCTTAGCAGCTGAAGCTCCTCAACCAGCTGAACCGGTTAAACTGGTCAGACTGGTGCCGGTCTGGGTTCTAGTCTGACCAGTTTAACCGGTAACAAGGGGTTCGGGCTCGGCTCGGTTTCATGCTAGCTGCTGTGGCTGCGGAAGTTCTGACCCTTTAACGACGAAGAACGGATCTTCCATAGACATGGTTCCGGTTCTGGTTCACTCCATGCCGACGACGATCCACCGATTCGGCGTGGTTCTGATTACTGCCCAGTTCTGGTCACCGGGGCAGCGCAGCTAACTGCGCTTTGTTTACATGTAGCAACGGAAACCACACAGTGACGTCACGTCCTAGTGAATAAACCAAGCAGAGCCGCCCCCTGGTGGTGGACTGGAGATGGAAAGAAAAACCTGAACAAGTTCATTTTAAGTTAAACGTTTCAGTAGCAGAGCTGTGAGGGATGAATCACCTTCAGGAACTCTCTGGTTCTGATCCAGACCCTCTGGTTCCGCTCGAGGAGATGCAGATACCTAAAAATGATTCACCCATGAACAAACAACATCTTAGATATTCGAGAAAATAACAGATCAATATAAAATGTGATGTCACACATTTCAACAGGGGGGCAATGATGGACCTACAAGCAGTTCGGTTCAGTTCAGTTCTTTTATTCAGCACCAATTCACAAGTGATGTTATCTCAAGGCACTTTACAAGAAAATTCTTTAAATTCAATCACACACCCATTCTGACTGGACCTGGTTGTCAAACAGTGCACTAAGCTAAGTTAATTATTCAGATTACTTTAGAAAGTTTCTATCTGCAGATTGCATCGAGTCATTGACCCTCAGCATTACTCCTCCTGACCAGCACAGGACAATGGTGGAGAGGAAAGCACCCCTTAAGGAACCTCCAGCAGAACCAGAGCAGGAACCGGGTCAGTACCAGCCGGTGTCTGGAGGTTAGAGAACACAGAGCGGAAGAACTGAGCCAGGAGAACTTTCTATGTTACAGTAAAAAGTTCATATCAGGAGAGGGAGGATGTCTAAATATTACCAGCTGATGGCCAACCTCCTGGAAGTATCCACAGCCAATCAGAATGCCAGAACAGGTGTTGCTTATCCAACCTGAAAGGAAAAGCAGGAGGCTGAGGATCATATGGCAACAACTAATTCACTAATTCAAATAAAAATAAAGAAAATACTTTATTGATTCAAAAGAAAAACGAAATGTTGTCGTAACTCATATCGTTCCAGCATCTTCCAACAGTTGTTGTAGATCTCCTGTAGCAGTTAGTGTTGAAATTAATTGGAAGATGCCTCTGACAGTGTCACGAAAGCTCAGCAGAGACGGTAATCCACAGCAACACGTCCTGGATAACTCCATCAGCTATTGGCATATTCTGCTAATCCACCTCCTTTGCTTTTGCTGTTCCTCTAGATCTCTGCCCTTATGGTTAATGAACAAGTTCATAAAGTCAGCTGTTTCTGGAGCCCTTCATGCCCACAAACATCACCATCTACAAAGACTTTTTTACGATACTTATGCACTACAGTAACACTTAATTTCTCCCTGAGATTCATAAACTTGAAATTAATTCCAACTAAATTGAATGTTTGAAATGCTATGTTTAGTTTTAAAAAATAAAACATGTCACTTTAGCTCATTAACTACTGTATGCTAATGTCAAGGTATTTTATACACCAAATTCATAAAAAAAAAAAAAAAAAAAAAAAAAAAAAAAAAAAAAACAGCTGCTGACCACGGTAACACCAGGAATAGATGAGTTTTTGGAGAAATTTTTAAATATTTTAAAACTGTAATTTCACTGCCTGTCCAGCAGAGGGCAACAGCTTTCTGCTAGCTCCCATTCACAAACAGAGGAAGCTGTATTCTCGCGAGACTCCGTTTCTTTGTGTTGAGAGGAACGTGTCAAGCTGCAGATTTTAAACTTCGTGTCTAAACTAAGCGAACCATCGGTCTAATCTGAGCCGAACCTGTCTACTGCTGGGTCTTATTCTGCTTCACCTGCGCCTCCTGTCCAGGTGAGCTCTATCAGTGAACCTGCTAGCTCCCGCCGTTAGCTTGTTAGCGCTCCATTAGCTCCGCGTGCTCTGTTTGAGTCCTCTCACCTGCTAACGTCAGAACCGTTTCGGTCCGTTTTGGCTCGGTTCGGTCATTGTTAACCTTGTACAGCAGGGGTTTAAGGTCTTTAGAACCGAAACTGGTTCTGTTTAGAGATGGATGACGTCATAATCCGTCAAATGGCGGCTCGGTTCGAACCTAATTAGAATCAGTGAGGAGTGACTTTGTTCCCGGGCAGAGGAAGGGTTAGGGATCCAGGGGGATCCGGATCAGTTGTGAGGAACCTAATGATTGCAGATGAAGGTCAGAGGTCAGATTAAGTGGTTGGGGGTGATCAGATAGAACAACAGGGGCGGGAACCTCCGCTGGTCCAGAGGCAGCCATGTTGGTGGGGTCATGTGATCAAAGTGTTCTGAAACTGACCAATTAGCTTCTTTTTCCAGACACAGTAAAACCAGCTGACCTGTTTCCATGGCAGTGAGACGAGGACACATCAGGTACCTGAAGGTGAGCTCACCACTGATGACACCTGCCAAACGTTTCCATGGCAACCAGGATGCGGCAGGTTCCCTAAAACCTGCTGCTTCGGGATGTTGGGGAACATTTGGAGTTTGATCCTCCATCAACTGGTTCTGTTAGCACCCTTCAGAGAAATGGACCGGTACTGGTTCTTATCAGTTGACTGGAAAAGATCTGTACTGATTCCATCTAAGCCAATTTAGCTGATCTCATTATTATTCGGACTGTTTTATAATCGTGCCTCCTGATTGGCTGGTCCTTTACCTCAGAGACTCATTATTTCAGCTGATTTAAATCTCAGAACCAAAACAGACCCAGTTCATATCCAGAACCAGTTCAGTCCCAGAACTACTATCTGGATCCTGATTCTGACACCAGCCTGTACCAAGCTTAGCATTATGACCTTTGACCCTACTTCTGTGTGTTCAGGTGTGTGAGGTCCAGCCGACTCAAGGTGAAGTCAGAGACACTCAGATTTCCTCCAAAGGAGCAGCTGTAAAAGTAAGCGCCGCTTTATGATTGGCTCCTTCTGGCTGCTCTCTGATTGGCCGTTATGTCTTCACCTGGTACGTTTTCCCACCTGTGTCTCAGGAGCTGTACGACAACGGTTTCACCGAAACAATGATGGAGGAGGATGACGACTCGCGGACCAACCTGATCGTCAACTACCTGCCGCAGAGCATGAGCCAGGACGAGCTGCGCAGCCTGTTCAGCAGCGTGGGCGAGGTCGAGTCGGCGAAGTTGATCCGTGACAAGGTGGCAGGTAACGCTGGCGTCGCTGGCTAGGGCCGCAGTACCTCTGCCAAACACTAGGGCTATGAACCATGATTCATGATTTTAATTTAGGGATGATGATTAAAATCGACCCAGTTCTGTGTAAACGCACTGGTTCTGTGTGAAAACTAAGCCCCGCCCCTCACACATTTAGGATTCAACAAGAAAACGGAGGGGGTGTGGCCAGATGGAGAGGCGTGGCCAGGTTCAGGGCCGAGGTCAGAATGCGGAGGCCCTTAGCCGCGCCCTGCTGCTATATTTAACTTTTTATCCAAACCAAGAAAGAACAAATCTGGAGATGTTTTTATGTGTCTGGAGAGATTTATGGCAAAATGCTCAGCTGCCACGGGTTAGGGATCAGTGCATGCTGCTGATCGATCACACATTGATAAAGCAGGGTTATTGATCACGTGTAGTCGGCGGGGGGCGTGGCTGAGTGATAGAAGTTGGAACGTTTTCAACCAATAGAATTGAACTGCAGAGGCACTGTTTCACCTGAAGGGGGCAACACTGAGATGGTTTTAGTCAAAATAATACAGAAGTCAACAAATTTACACAAAAATGTCAAAATTAGCGTAGAAAAGTGAAGATCAACCCCTAAATGACATAATAAGTATCTCAGCAAAACCAGATGATTTGTTAAATGTTCTGCTCCAGTACTGGTCCAGTATGGTCCAGTATGGACCAGTACTGGACCCATCAGCCTCTCCATAGGAAGCGTTAATCCTGCTCTGCTTCTGACCCAGTTTATTCAGTAGAACCAGTGGTTCTGTCTCTCTGGTTCTTTTTCTCAGCTGTTTTTTTTTAATTGACTTTGTGATTGTTTATTTTTTATTTTTCTAAACAATTTTGTGGATTTTTATTTTTTATTTTTTTGCCTGGATGATTTTTTTTTTTTTTTTTTTTGCTGTTGAATTTGTAATGTTTGTTGTTTTTGCTGCGGCGCTGGCAAGTTATCTGTTTTCTGGTTCTGCTGGACTCTATCGGGCGGAACCAGTTCTGTTTACATTCAGAACTTTGTTTTTAATTTTTTTATCTTTGTAAAAATGTTTTGATGTCTTTATTTTTTTCAGGATTTGTAAAATTTTCAGAAAAATGTTTGAGAAATGTTTTTGTTCTGAACAAGTTGAGAAAACCGAGCAGTAATGGTTCTGTCTGAACCCGACTCAGCTCAGGTCCAAACTCCAGCAGAAAGTTCTTCACCTGATTGGATGCTTCCCTAGTCACCGGGTCAACGCTCTGATGACTGAACCCGGTTCTGGTTCTGGTTGGCGCAGGAAAAAGTATTCACACATCAGGGTTCTGATGGGTTGGTGGCGCCGCTTCTCCTCCATGAGGCGGGCACACCTCACAGTTTGGGGACCGGTTCCGGTTCTTCTCCTATGGTTCAGACATCGTCTCGGGTTTTCAGACTTTGTTGAGTGTTTCCAACTTAAAATGATCACTTGCGCAAAAACAGCAAAAGTTCTTGCAGCTTAAACACCAATGAAGAAATGTTTCTGTGGTACCATTTCACCAACTGGGTCGGTTGACCTCAGTCCTGATCGGCCCTGCGGCTGATTGGTCTCCGGGCGCTGCGGCCGCTCCCTCAGGTTAAAATCTGTGTATTGTGATTTTAGTCTCAGATATTTTCTTAGGCTGCGTTCACACTGCAGTTCTGATATTTTTGACGTAATAAGATCTGTATTTGATCTTTTTATGACAGTCAGATTATTTCGAATGCGACCCACATCTGACCTAACATCGGTCGCATTAATCCGACCTGAATGTCACTGATATTTGACAAATGTCCCTATTTTGTCTCCTGATACGCACAAGCCGGAATAAAAATAACAACTATCACTGACTGTAATGAGGATTAAGTTGTTAATTTTCTGCTCTGGTCGGACAACAACTTCAAACGTGTGAGCTATGCTCTGCCGTTAGCATCCATCTTTACTTTCACAAACCCTGAAGACTTTTTCCTAGTGGTTGGCAGCACACTGAGAAAGCTGATGTCATTGCGCCCTCGACTGCGCTTGTGGGATACTTTGAGGTCCTTTTCCTGTTCACACTGGAAAACACATCCAGGTCACATTTATTTGGAAGGGTGAACAGCCATGGAGTTGGGTCGCTTCAGGCTGCAGTGAACGCAGCCCGAGTTTCCCCAAAGTTAACTACAAGCTAGACTTACAATACAGTAAGTCTAGCTTGTAGTTAACTACTGGTTAGCTGCTTCTTAGCTACTGGTTATCAACTAGCATTGGTTCTGACCCAGCAGGACGGTTCTGATTGGATGCTTCTATCTGAACAGGTCAGGTTCTGACAGCTGATTGGTTGGAAGGAGCCGTTTATAACCTTTATTTATCTGATCCGATCAGGAGGGTTTCAGTTACTATGCCAACACTATAGTAGCTATGGTTATGGGGATACCTGTGGTTCCCATGGTGACAGAAGGTGAACCATCTTCTCTTTTCAAAAATCAAATAAAAACAAGAACATGCAGCACTAAGCTGCTAACGATCTCCACTGCTCTGTCGTTACTGAGGAGCAGCGTGCGGTTCGGTCGAGACCTTCTGAAGTCTACACTGAAAACATTCAGTGTTCAAAGAAATGACATTGTTATTACTGTTATTACTGTTATTACTGTTATTACTGTTATTAGCCACACAGACAGACTGAGGAACTCTAGCAGCCAGTTGCACAGTGGAGTGCTGAAGCCCAGCGAGACCAGTTTGCACACCAGATCCTGGGGAAGGGTCGTATTAAATGCACAGCTGATGTGAGTTAGCAGGAGCTATTCAGCAGCTAATCAGTAGCTAGCTAAGCTAGCTAGACGCTAACCAGGACCTAATCATGACCTAGCCAGAACCGAAATGAGTTAACCATGAGCTTACCGGGACGTAACTGGGTCCAGTTGACCTTACTGAGCCGTTTGGACCTCCCTATTGAACCACCATCTTGTTGTTGTGAAGCCCGTTTTCTCAGTTTGTTCAGAACCGTTTGGGTTTGTTTTGTGGATCTGATCAGACTCTGTGCTGAGTTTTGAACTCTGTGTTTCTTTCACAATGTGATGCTGTAACCGAGAGTTTTGCTGTTATTTTGTTGTTTTCCTTTGTGTTTCTCTAGGCCACAGTTTAGGTTACGGCTTTGTTAACTTTGTTAACCATAGTGATGCAGAGAGGGCTATCAGTACCCTCAATGGCCTGAGGCTACAGTCTAAAACTATCAAGGTAACGCGCCACAGGTGCTCTTTGATTTTCCTCTTTCCACTGATAGATGTGTTATGTTTCCTGGACAGTAGGGGGCGCTCTCAGCGGCAGCCTCTGAAGATTGAAGGTATTTTGTTCTGACACACGTCAGCACTGAATCTGTCTCTTCCTTCAGT